ATTAGAAAAGTCTCGAAATGTAAATATTAACCGTTGAATTCCTTTTTTTTAATAATATTTTACCGCAAGTTGTACAAAATAACGATTTATCACAAAACACTTCAAAATTCATAAGATTGTTTTTCATATTTTTACCTTTTTTGTACAAGGTGGGGCAAGATCTGGCATTGTCCTTTTAATAATAATGTATTGTTATTATAAAGTTATATTATTATTTGAAGTGAATCAAATGTACACTATTGAACATAAACCTCAAGGAATGCCACAAAACAAGGTCATGTACCACCTGCATCCATCGACTCTACTTCTTACCAGATCGACCCTATCTACTGGGGGGCTACCCTATTCCATTTTCCCATGTTTGTTGTCGGTTCTTCGACCTATGTTGGCGGCTCATTTACACTTCAGTTTATTGATCCGTTGTCTATATTGGATTACTGAAGTTAATTGGGTAATTAATACTAAAATATTTTAATACTAAAAGTATATAGTAATAATTCTATATGCAGTATATAGTCGTATACGTACCCGTTAACACATAATATAATTATAATTATATTAGTCGATTAATGCAGGTGACTAAGGTTCATACATTGTGTGTTTCTGAGGAAGATCTAAATTCTGATTAGCAGGAACTTATAATATCATAATGAATAATTGATTTCTTGACTTTTTATTTTGAATAATCTTGTTTTTGGACCTTTTTATTTGTTATGCATGGTACTTGTTCTCATGCAAACATTTTAGTTTTATCTTCAACAGTCTTATTATGAAGTCACATTATACATTATCAGCATTTAAATCCGGATTTTTGGTAAATTTATCATAGTATCTTCCTACAAAATCATGTTAATGATTCAAACGCCATGTGCATCATTCCGACTTTGCAAGGTCAAACCAATATATTATTTTGACCTGTGAGTCAAAGAAGGTGCGTAAACAAGCTTCTGTTTTACAGATTAAGTGTAAATATATTACCATTTTTAATTTCACTTCATATCATAAAACATAATATGTTATATTTACATAACATAATATACAATATTTTATTTTATACAAAATGTATTAAAAATATTAATATAATAAAAAGAACGCTGGCTGCGTTTCCCCGCTGAATAGCTATACTAACCTTTGAGCGAGAAATGTTATATTGCTAATAAAATTAAATTGACGATCTTTAAGTAATTTACTTACGTTTAGTGATTAAAATATCTGATTAACGAGTCCGGGACTCAGCAGTCGAATATTGCTAGTTTCGAATGCAATAATTTGCCAACCGAGTGCTAAGATTAATACAAACACATAATTTCTTAGTTGTCTGATCTCGATGTATTGCGATTATTTTGATCTGACATTACTTCCAAGCCCACCTCCATTCTCATCGCATAAACTTTTGCTATGAATACAGTTGGATTGGGTATAGGTATACCTACCATAAGTCAGGATATATCCTGACATGTCAGGACTTTTGGGCTCTTGTTTGGATTGCGGTCGGATTATGGAAATGTAAGGATTTTTCGATTTTTCAACAAAATACAGTAAGTTTTTGCGTGGGAGAGAGTAATCTGCGACGTATTGATCAGCAAGAGTACACAAAACCAATAGTTGATTTGTTTTTGTTTTCTTGCTTATGAATTACGTTCGCAACAAAATATCAGGATTTTTCTTTGGAAATCAGGTTATTTGTCAGGACTATAATTTCAGGTATTTGTAATTTTTTTTTAAATTGTGGCACATGCTGTTTTAATAAAATCTTTTTGGATTGGTTAGATCATAATCCCCCTCATCCCTCTAAAGAATAATTGCCCCCCCCCCCCCCCATAAAAGAGATTTGACGTAATTAACACTGGACCGTAGGATTGGCATCGCAGTATCAGCCGTACCTTTGATATTAGAACATCGACATCAAACTAATGATAACGAACAAACGAAGTATCCGATTTGATGCAAATTATTGTATCTATTGCATCATGCGGGTAATGTAATTTGACTTTGTACGGAATTTTTCATGTGCATACATGAGTTGTATGTATTAAACACGCCAATACATTATGATTTTTAGTGATAGTAGCCTATTGGTTAAGCTTGCGGACTTAGAAACTTAATCCTTTCGCTGTCCCGTGCACTACATATAGGTCATTGCTATTATCTTACTATTGTGTCTGAAAACCGGACAGTGAAAGTGTTAAATGTTTTGGGTTTACGCCCGCCATTTGACTACAGTCACAGAATAAATAATAGAAATAATAGTACTACGTACAGAAGTTGCACTCTTTTGATGTTGACTGCTTGCCGACGTTTTAATAGCCTATATAGTTATTATTAATCAGATAAATCACGCACGCAAGCTAAATTAAACTTTATCGCTGCGCGCGAATGTCCGTATTACTTTGCATCTTTTCTCCTTACTACGTCACAACGGACTTTCGGTGGTTGCTAAGGGCTGTTAATAAAGAGTAAAAAATACATTGTGAAATGGAAAGTTACTTAGGTAAAGTACCTATGCTGACTATAATCGACCATATTATCTACTATGTGAGTTCTGTGATGCCCAACGCATGCAACTTGCAAGGCCATTCGTCGGAATCGCGATGCTTGGTTCGTATAGGTAGATAGCGTAAACAACAAATAAACCGGAAATACGATTCCTAACAGAAATATGATCGTAATCTACTTAGTTCAAAATCTTGTAAACAAAGTTTTAATTTCAGTATTTTGTGCTATTATAACTTAAAATATTTTAATTACAAAGACGAGTAAAGGTATGTAAGTAGGTACTTGGGTAGTGAAGCAAATTTCAACTAAGTTTTATAATAAGGTACTTAGGTATTACATCTGTAGCTAAATTATTACTTAATTATTTTGTCGCTATAAGTACCTAGGTATCTAACAAAAAAAAATGAACTAAGTTTACCTTTCGTTATCCTTCGGTAACTCAAAAAATGATATATCTCAATCCTTTTAAATGCACATTAAGCATCCATCCCCGCAACAATTATAGTAGGAACGACGTTTTGCCATTATAATTTATCAAATACTCGTAGATAGGTAATAAACATATATTATTCTTAAATTACATTAAAACTTTTTCAACTAGTATATTTAGTTGTAGGATAAAAATCCTACAACTAAATATACTAAACACTAAACAAAACTATTTCGACGAGTATTTCAACAAGTATTTATAAAAAATTATTTACGTAAACAGCGTTAAAAAAAAACTTTAACATTCAATCGTAGAGCGCGTTAGCCCCGACTGCGATCTACCCCTGGGGCAGCTCGCGATTGTAGGTAATTATTTCACGCAGGTAGCAAGAGTGACAGAGGCCTGCTACAGTTGTCAACCACTCCTAACAAGCTTTTAAGACTTAAATTTTAGGTTTTTAGTTTGAGTAAATTTTAAGTTTGACTTAAAGTTTACGGGAATATTAGCACTGCTTGTGTTGCATTGCGTTAATAGCACTGCTAATATACAGGGTTATTTTGCAATATCCGGCCAAATTTGCAGAGAAGGTTCAGAATAAGTAATACAGGCAAGTAGTGTTGAAAAATTAATTTAAAAGAATCGCAATAATTCTTTCCTTTTCTACCGACTTCAATAAGGAGACGGTACTCAATTCGACTGTATGTTTTTTTTTGTGTGTGTTACCTCATGACTTTTTTCTGGGTGAACCAATTTCAATAATTCTTCTTTTATTTGATAGCTGGTGCTTTTCATGTGGTCCTTTATAAATTTGATCAAGGTCTGACCAATAGCTTTTGAGTTATTCTTAATAATTTATACTAAAGTCGGTTGTACAAAATTTTTAATTTTAAATTATATTACCTTTTATGTTCAAAATGCGTGATAATGCACTATTTTAACTGATTTTACTGCGCACGCACACATTTGTAAGGGTCAATCCGTAGGCAAAAACGTTGTTGCCCATAAATCACATTCAATTTGGAATTTTTTGTTCCAAATAAAACTAGAAGCCTTATTTACTTGTATTTTCAAAAACTGCAATAACGGTATATCATTATTTATATATTTGAACTTAAGATTAAAATTTGACTACTCTTTGAAAATAACCCTGTATATATGTTTTTAAATTTTTGAGCTATGATACCGCAGGAATAGGCATAAGCACTTGCCTTAAAATTTGTTTCGAGATGAAACCGAATGTGATCCTCGTCGACATCGATGTTTTTTTATTGTAATGTTAATTTAATTGCAATAGGCATATTGAAAGTGATTCATTGCGTAGTGGCGGTCAAGAATATCCACTACCTCACATCGTCCCGTGGGTTTCGTAAGAGGCGACTGACGGAGACAAACAAGGAGATGGACAGTACCGCCTTCCTAATAAGAACTAAAAAATAAAAACTGCGATTGCTAACTTACCTGTCAAGCATGGCAACTATGTGCAACTATCCCCCCCATGAGTCAATTTGATTTCCCCCCACTAGATGGAGTGATGGCCTGGTAAAACATGCAAGAAGTCGATTGATGCAAGTGGCTCAGGACCGTGCTTTGTGGGATTCCTTGGGGGGAGTCCTATATTAACCAGTTAACTTGTGAAGGGATGTAATGATGATGATAATGAGGCAATTTATGGAGGAGGCCTATGTCCATCAGTGGACTATTCATCAGCGGTATAAAGCACTCGCTTTAGTTCGCTTCGCTCGTTCAGCGGTGCAAACCATTGTCGAAAATATTACATGTCTGAAACATTAAATACTTTTCTAGGACATGTGAAGTCCGCTAAAACGTATCGGGGCAGTGTGGCAGACTTACCCATTTTAGAAATGAGACGATGAATTTGTCAAGATGTGGAAACTTAAACTGTTACTTTACTTTACTACTTTTTATTTCAAGCGAAAATAAATTAATCTTACAATTATGTTAGGATTATAGCAATTTCGTGCAACAATCGAGTATTTAATTAAATTAAGGATTAAAAATAGGATAGTACTTACAAAACATGACATGCGATGTTTAAGTTACCCTTTTGTTTCAGAGATTTTCCACGTTCACAATAGTCACGCTCAGCCTTTTTGTGGGCACCGTAATTCTTGGTAAGTACTTTTCGAACAAAAGAATAACTAACCCGAGATTAATTAAGTAATACCTACAAACCATTCATGATAGAAACACTAAATGCAAACGATATTTTCTTAGAGTGCCGCTAACAATAGGCAAACGTGGCATGCTCTTTAATCTGTTATCGTTTCTCAAATGCATATTCAGTCTTACTCATAAAAAGTTTAAAATTTAAAGTTGTTTTCGCCCTTTTAACTTAAAATAAAAAGAGGTAGGTATATGTATAGAGATTATTAATAATTAACATAAGAAAGCGATTATTAACGATTGTAAGTAAGACCAATTATGCTTTAATTATACGCGAGCAGTGATAGGTTTGAGGACAGATACTCACCTTGACACTACTGCTGCTATTTATATGCATTTATTTATTGTTTATAAGTAAAGAAAAATAACACAATAACACAAAAAAGGAGGTACAAAATCCTTAAAAGTCTATTGTTGTGATTAATTTTAAAGTTATAAAGTTATACAATAATAGAATATAAATAAAAACGTAAATGTTTGTTTGTTCAAAATCTTTTATCTCCGAAAGTTCTTTACCGATTGCTTAGAATCTAACCATATAAATTAAATTTAGGGTCTGCCTGTAATATCAAATTAACTGTCTTTTATTGAGACATGACTAACTATTTATAAAATTTTTGTTTGTCTGCTATCTTCGGAATGACTTGACCGTATGAATTGTAATGAAACTTGACTTACAGATTTACAGCAATTCCAAAAGTGATATAAGCTATATTTTATTCGAATAACTTGAAGATTTTTCAGAGAAGTCGAAAAATTGATTGATGGTTATCTTAATGACGTAAATGACATTAATAGATACACAAGTAAGTAACAAATACAGTAGCATTGAACTAATGTTTGATGTCTATTTAAAACGACCAAAAAAAACCCCACTAGCAATTGTAAATAAATTTGTTGCAAACATTAAATTTTGTCATTTCAAGATATGCATACCAACTGTAACATTCCTAGAAAAACCTATGTCTTGTCTATGATAAATTAATAAGTCGATGGACGAAATTCGTTAATTGCGAGCATGGCCTCCTGCTTCAAATGAACCACCTTTTCTCTAATAAAAAATTTACTGTAATCACCACTCTTGGAAGGCGGTTTGATGCTAGAATCGCCGAACTTTTAATGCCGCACAATAAAAAATAACGATACTTAAAACACCTTAAGAATGAGATAAAAATGTGATCAATGTCGGTTGCATAAATTTTTTAATTTTACTACTTGTTACGTAAACATCTTTGTTGGACTAATCATTGCAGTGTGCAAGCACGGTTCGTCGTGGCACGTTGCAGGCGCACGCGTGGCCCGCGCCGCCTACCGCGCCTTCTCAGCCGAGCGCCTCGATTGCTGGCTGGCTATCCATGTTGGGTTAGGGCACGTTAATGTCACCCTTACAGGTAATATATGTTTTTGACTACTATGTAATATTTTAAACGCTACAATGTAAAGTACAAAGAAGAATATATACAATGTTATTTTACAATAACCGGCCAAATTTGCAGAGAATGTTCAGAATAAGTAATATAGGCAAACGGTGAAGAAAAATTAATTAAAGAAAATCTCTAACATTCTGTCCTTTTTATCTTTTAAATTCGAAATGCATGGTAATGCATTATTTTAACTGATTTGAACGATTGCCTGCCTTTCAACTTGAGAGAATCTCATGTTCGGGGTTTGATTGTGTAAGCTATACAGGATCAACGAGTAGCCAAGTTTTAAACTTAAGTTCAAAGATATAAATAATGATTATGTATACCGCTATTGTAGTTTTTGAAAATACGAGTAAATAAGGATGTCTACTTTTATTTAAAATTATCCCAAATTGAAGTTAAAATAATGCATTACCACGCATTTAAAATTTATAAGATAAAAAGGACAGAATGTTTGAGATTTTTTAAATTAATTTTTCTTCACTATTTACCTTTATTACTTATTCTGAACTTTCTCTGCAAATTTGGCCGGTTATTGCAAAATAATCCGGTATATAAAAATCAATTGTTGTACGCTAGTCTCGCTAAATCTCAAAAAACGGCTCGACTGACTGATGAATTCTTTTGTGTGATTGAATGGGCCCCTAGATGGTTTAGATTCAAATTTAGGACCCAGTAGGCGACGCTGTTGTCGAGATTTAGAAATCACCCGTGCGAAGCCGCCGGGGGAATCGCTAGTATTAAATATAATATTATGGTTTATTGCATTAAATATAAAAATGAAACTGAAACGGCGAGATTCAAATAACAAGTTTATGCCATAACGGTTTCCAGCGCTATCATGGGGCAACACGTCAACCAGCGATCCCGGAGTAGACTACAATGAACAGTTCCGCTGGGAAGAAGCTGGCGCTATTCAAGAATGGTATCGGAAAGGTCTGATACGAGGCTTGCCATACCCTCTTCTATCCGTAGCGGAACATTTTGCTGCCGAACACGAAGGTTTTGAATGGGGCGCAAAATATCGCGCTGCGGGTTACACAACATCTACTTTACTCTGGTAAGGAAGTTATAGTAGACTCGAAGTTATGGTATATCGCAAAGAATGGGATACAATAACCTAATCAGTTGATTGTGCTTATATTTCAGGACAGCCTTGGCGCTATGGCTGCTAATGAATCTACTTCTGGTAGTGGTACCAAGGTATGGTGCCTACGCGATGGCATCCGTCGGAGTGACGCTGTGCGCCGCAGCCGGAGGCTATTGGGCCTCGTTACCTCATGTTCCCCTGGTTGTTAGACTCGATGGGTCTATGCTATTCTTCTCTCTGGGCTGGTGTTTCTACTTAGTGCTCGTTGCAGGTACTTATTAAAACTAATTAAAGGTGCATATTCATTATATTTCTACTTTTTAGTATAGCACTCTTTTGTAAATAATCTATACAAATAAATAAAATTGAAGTGTCTGTTTGTAATGTCAAAATTACAGCTTTTTACTAATTGCTTATGAAAGTATATATGGTACTTATAACAAAAACACAATTTTTTAAATTTTTGTCTGTCTGTCTGTCTGTCTGTTTGTTCCGGCTAATCTCCGAAACGGTTGGACCGATTTTGACGGGGCTTTCACTGGCAGGTAGCTGATTTTATAAGGAGTAACTTAGGCTACTTTTATTTTAGAAAAAGAATTAGGGTTCCGCGCTAAAACATAAAAACTTTAAATAAAATCAAGCCTTTTATAGAGTAAAGGTAAAGTAACTATATACGTATCACAGTTACACACATGCTACGTTTCACTTCTGATAGGGTTACAGAACAATTGGTCAGCAGCGCTGCTCTAATGCGTGCTGGCGGATTTCACATCATCGCGATACTTTTCTTCATCGCTGAGCACGTCGTAAATCAGCACATAAAATTTGCAACAAACAGTTTTATTGGTACCGATGGGAATCGAACCCGGGTTGTTCGTGTACTGTGTAATTATTACATTATCAGTATGCAGAATTTGAGTTATTGGACAGTATATTTAATGAACTTTCCACCATGAATCAAATACCACAAATAATAGGAGGTGATAATCTGAGGATTCAATAGATCCCTTAGAGAATACATAAGTAGCATGCTTTTGTATGTACACTCTAAGACGGAACCCAATTCGTTAGTAGCAGCGTGTGCAGGTAAGGTTTGCATTTGGCTAAAATTTAATATGTAGTTAATACACATTAAATAAAACTACTTTAATGCATTTGATCGCGTATAACTTAACTTGTTTTTAACTTCCAACGTTTCGAGTACTTTACGCGCACCCATGGTCACGGTTAGGACTGAGGTATTTGACACATCGATGTGATATAATCAACATAGATACAATATGATTTGATAGGCTACAAATCCTACCAAATCATCGCAAAAGAACATTGATTCCTACCTACGATGATTCATGAGGCTATTGAAGTTATTAAACATACTTATTTCACTAGGGAGGCGGCTGGATGCTACTACCTGCTTGGCATTCTGAATAAAACTAAATCCAAACCCAAGCATACCACTGCAAGTCTTTATAATACACTAAACTCATTGTGCGTAAATTGAATCAAAATTAGTAATTAAAAGCTGAAGATAAAGTGTCAGGTTTAGTTATGACAATGAAAACATCAAGCACTTTAGTCTCCCTTGTGACAATTGGTGCTGCAAAGAAAATGAAACATCGAGAGTTAAAATCAAGTTAAATTAAATCTAATAAAATCCTTTTAAGTAGTTTTGTTCAATGTGGAGTGTTCGCGTATATATAAATTCTATAAATCATTAGTAACTACGTCTTTTTTCCCCAGATATAATTATTGCAATTTTAATGGATTCACATGAAACCCTCAGGTTGCTTATGCTTCGTGGTGGGACTGGTGATAGCCACGCTAGATTTGGTGTGGCCGCACCGATTCTCCACCGTCCTAGAAGTGGATTACGACACGCCATACGACCGGCACGTACTGATCGTAGACAGTCGAAGAAGAGCACGGCCGCAAGCACAAAGCTCGTTACCTAGCAGAATTCTAAGGTATTCAGCCACTTCATATTTTGTCCTTAGACAAATGGTCCTTGGACCTAACTATACTGCAGGTCTGGTTTTATCAGTGAATATATGATTTATCGGTAGTATCTGTTTCAGAAATTTTCTCCTAAAAACAAACTTTCATACTTACAAAAAATTTTACTCTTTATAATACTTTTAATTAATAAACGAGCATTCATACATTTATTACAGCTCATCAATCCCCCAACGATTGCCGTATTTGTGACATAATTGCCATGTTTAATTAGGAAGATGTTGGTGTCCATCTCCAGTTTTAGTTTCCCTCAGACGCCCCTAAGGATAATCACGGGATGATATGGGCTATTAGATTCTGGAATCTCCCATGCTGCCACTACGCTGTATATACGTAGGGAAACAACCTAGTAAAATAAAATTGTATTCTTTCTGTCCTGTACTCTTCCAATTCGGCCAAAAAGAGGTTGTCATGCTAGACAACAGTTTATCAAAAGGAGGTAATAGAATATTTCAGGACTACTACTTTACAGTTACAGTTAATACTTCGATATTTAACAGATTATCCCCATAATCATTGCCCCGTTAACAGTCAACACCTGTGTCATTTTAATAAGATTTGTGATAGGTTTTTATGAATATCATTTTAATAAGGTTTGTGATAGGTTGTAATGGATACCAGTTTAATAAGATTTGTGATAGGTTGTAATTAATACCATTTTAATATGTCTTGTGATAGGTTGTAATGAATATTATTTTAATAAGATTTGTGATAGGTTGTAATGAATACCATTTTAATAAGATTTGTGATAGGTTGTAATGAATATATTTTAATAAGATTTGTGATAGGTTGTATAAATATCAATTTAATAAGTTTTGTGATAGGTTGTAATGAATACCATTTTAATAAGATTTGTGATAGGTTGTAATGAATATAATTTTAATAAGATTTGTGATAGATTGTATAAATATCAATTTAATAAGTTTTGTGATAGGTTGTAATGAATACCATTTTAATAAGATTTATGATAGGTTGTAATGAATACCATTTTAATATGTCTTGTGATAGGTTGTAATGAATATCATTTTAATAAGATTTGTGATAGGTTGTAATGAATACAATTTTAATAAGATTTGTGATAGGTTGTAATGAATACCATTTTAATATGTCTTGTGATAGGTTGTAATGAATATCATTTTAATAAGATTTGTGATAGGTTGTAATGAATACCATTTTAATATGTCTTGTGATAGGTTGTAATGAATATAATTTTAATAAGATTTGTGATAGGTTGTAATGAATACCATTTTAATATGTTTTGTGATATGTTTTATGAATATCATTTTAATAAGATTTGTGATAGGTTGTAATGAATACCATTTTAATATGTCTTGTGATAGGTTGTAATGAATATTATTTTAATAAGATTTGTGATAGGTTGTAATGAATACCATTTTAATAAGATTTGTGATAGGTTGTAATGAATATCATATTAATAAGATTTGTCATAGGTTGTAATGAATACCATTTTAATAAGTTTTGTGATAGGTTGTAATGAATACCATTTTAATAAGTTTTGTGATAAGTTGTAATGAATATAATTTTAATAAGTTTTGTGATAGGTTGTAATGAATACCATTTTAATAAGATTTGTGATAGGTTGTAATGAATATCATATTAATAAGATTTGTGATAGGTTGTAATGAATACCATTTTAATAAGTTTTGTGATAGGTTGTAATGAATATCATTTTAATAAGATTTGTGATAGGTTGTATAAATATCATTTTAATAAGTTTTGTGATAAGTTGTAATGAATATCATTTTAATAAGTTTTGTGATAGGTTGTAATGAATACCATTTTAATAAGTTTTGTGATAGGTTGTAATGAATACCATTTTAATAAGATTTGTGATAGGTTGTATAAATATCATTTTAATAGGATTTGTGATAGGTTGTATAAATATCATTTTAATAAGTTTTGTGATAAGTTGTAATGAATATCATTTTAATAAGTTTTGTGATAGGTTGTAATGAATACCATTTTAATAAGATTTGTGATATATACGTTGTAATGAATATCATTTTAATAAGATTTGTGACAGGTTGTAATGAATACCATTTTAATAAGTTTTGTGATAGATTGTGATGAATATCATTTTTATAAGTTTTGTGATAGGTTGTAATGAATACCATTTTAATAAGTTTTGTGATAGGTTGTAATGAATATCATTTTAATAAGATTTGTGATAGGTTGTATAAATATCATTTTAATAAGATTTGTGATTGGTTGTATAAATATCATTTTAATAAGTTTTGTGATAAGTTGTAATGAATATCATTTTAATAAGTTTTGTGATAGGTTGTAATGAATACCATTTTAATAAGATTTGTGATATATACGTTGTAATGAATATCATTTTAATAAGATTTGTGACAGGTTGTAATGAATACCATTTTAATAAGTTTTGTGATAGATTGTGATGAATATCATTTTTATAAGTTTTGTGATAGGTTGTAATGAATACCATTTTAATAAGTTTTGTGATAGTTTGTAATGAATATCATTTTAATAAGTTTTGTGATAGGTTGTATAAATATCATTTTAATAATATTTGTTATAGGTTGTAATTGTAATGAATATCATTTTAATAAGTTTTGTGATAGGTTGTAATGAATCATCTATTTGACGTTTGTTGGCATTGTCTTTATGTTAAGTACATATAATTGTAAATACTTTAAGTTTCACTTATTTTTCAGTATCGCACCATCTGTCAGAGGCGACATGATTTTTCCCAGTATTTTTCCTTGTCATTTTCGCCATATTCACAATTCATCAATGTTTACCATTAACTATCTACATCGATATCATATAAAAAATTGTGTCAATAATAGCTTATGTAATGCAGGAGGCTCTCATCAAAAACTCGTGACTCGGAACGCCAAGTATCGATGTCAATAGTGAACGAGAACGGCGAACGCGGCCGCGACAACCCGGCCTACCAGCACGAGCCGCGTAAACCAAACTCGCCATGGCGGTACCCGCTCTTCAGGAGGCAAATCGATCGGTAAATATGCTCGTGATATTTATTTAATGACTTCTTATTTTTACCTACAAGAAATACAGATTTTTTTACAGAGTAACACTATAAAGATTTTTGTATCCCTATTGCAAAGGAATCTTTGCGTCACTGTTATCTGTTTTCGGACTTATTATAAAAATGCTTTATTACTGAAGCGATTACCTCGCCCCGTACATAACAGACTGGTTGGTACATTAGATTTTTGAAATTGTAACTTTTATTTTTAAATTAATTTTTAATTTTTTTTTCATTTTAGAGTTGATTCCGCATCCAGTCTAGGATCAAGCATCAATGGCAATAATTCCGGTATCAAAATGTCGCCTTTGCCTGGAAGCCCTAGTTCCATCGGTATTTCTCCTCATAGGTAATATGTTTCATTTACTCATATTTATTTAAATTTAAATGTCTAAATGAAATATTCTCTCACATAACAACATTTATTATTCATTACTGGACAAAAAAATTCCAAGAACGCACTAGGCGGGATTCTAGTCCACTGCTAAAAATAGGCTTTTACCTAGAATGCGCTAGCTAGTTAGTACTTGGATTATTTGTTCCTACTAACCAAGTCAAATCTCATTTATTCTGTGAAATTTGGGTTCATCGTTTTCGAATAGATTTCCGGTCAACAGTCACAAGTGTCCGTCGTCGATCAACAGAGTGCACCGCGTGCTGGTGAGGTTAGCTTCACAGGAAATGTTTGCTTGCATATTTCTTCTTAAAAATCCCTAAATCTTAATCCTAATAAAATATACTCCCTTATATTTCCAGGTATCGACCTCAGTTACCGGCAACAGAACGAGTCAAGGACATGTGGTGACAAAGACAGTAAAATTATTAACGTTAGATTGATGTGATGTTAACTGCACGTTTGACCAAACTCGTGGAAGAAGTTTCTTAAATAAAAATAAATAAGATGTATTAATATGTATAATAATTGTGATTGTAAATATGTAAATTTTTAGTTTAATTTCTAAATTATACTCTACTATCGTCGTATCCAGTGTAATAAGTTATACGACAAGGGTAATATCTATTACCCCGTTTCTATTGATAATGTAATTATTATAAACAACATCGACACAGAAGTGAATGCTTTGTGCCATTGTAATACAAGAATAATGATGACAATCACAAAAAAATGACAGTCTCCACTGATGGAGGACCTAAGTTTTAAACTAATTTAGTATAGTCATGTACAAACAATATAAAATGTTCCACTTTATATTAATAATTTATTGCTCAAATATTACTGGAGTACACGTTTAAAAACGCTTGGTATTCTTATGATTTGACTTTTGATTAATAAAAATGAGCGCTATACACATACCTATATATTGAAGTTATTATCCCATTTTTAGATTTAGAACTATTATTTCTTAATTATTTTTTTTAATTTCAACGTATTCGTTATGAATTGTACATCTAACAAATACATTGTACTCAAAAATTTTTTACATTACTTATGCAATTGAAGTTGTAATTTAGTTACCTTTGAGTAAGCATACTTTTAGAGACGTTACAAAGTTAACTATCTGAGTTATAATAAAAATATAAATAAATATATTAAGAAAAACTAGGAGACAAAAATATAAAAATATTTACCTGATTAATCAAGTCATTTAGGTGTATTGATAAGCTAAGTTATTTATTCTTTAATATTGCAAATGAACTATAGACAACTGTCTTATCGTGTATTAGGACATTAGATTTAAATATAAAATACATTATTTTAAGTCACAAAAATGACTGCAAAAAACAAAGTTTATTACTGAAAATAGATATTGAAATAAGTGATTTCCCTTTTTGACACATTATATACTTAGTTATTATTCTTTTGACACAAAATGTATAAGGTAAACTTACCTTTAAATTTTCGCATTCCATAACTAAGCAGGAAATTCTGAAATCCTAAATAAAAATAAAGTAAATTGGCATTTCTTTTAGATGTTCTTGCTAAAGTGAATTTGTACCTATCATGTATTCATAGTGTAATTAAATATGAAAAGTGAGATGATGATATTTATTGTGATCGAATAGAAACAAATTTAAAGACTAAAAGCAGTTTTATTTACCAATTTTAAAAAGTCTATTACAAAAGGCTTGCCATGATATAAAATATTTACTGTATATTATTTATATGATCTTAAATTATCATCAAAGACGTACAATATAACTCGAGACGATAAAAAATATGCAGTCAAAAATATACATAAATATCAAAATGTGTATTTCGTGTATTGTTTCTTTGTTGATGGATATTATGACTGAGCTTTGACGAGATGTTCCAAATTCAACTGACATAGGAAAGCATTCCAGTTTACGTAGCCTTCCTTAATAAAAGTATCTTGATCAGCCCAGAATTTGCACTGTAACAATATAAACAATATAATATATTTAAGGTTATGGCTGACACACACGGTCAGTTACAGTGATCAGTTGAACTGACGTACATACAAGAACTCACAGTGAGTGTTATGTCTTAACTTATGTATAAAGAAATAATAAATAAGTACAAGATGAAACCATATAATATCTTATCATTATTTTACCTGGCAACTAGATTCTTATTATTGAAGTGGAGGCAAACAAGCATGCGGCTTACCTGATGGTGAGCACCGCCGCCTATGAACAACTGCAACACCAGGGGAATTGCAGATGCGTTGCCGGCCTTTTACAAAGGAGTTAGCCCTTTTTCTTGAAGGTCCCTAAGTCGTATCGGCCCGGAAAAATCGCCAGTGTTAAACCATTCCACAAAGAGGTCGTACAATTAAGAAAACTCCTAATAAAACCCACAGTGATGGACCGCCAAGCTTCAAAGATGATGTGGACGGTATCGTGAGTTTTATCTCGAAGTGCGTTCGTGATATTTGACGACTGGAATTAACCAGAATAATTCATCAGAGCACTCTCCGTGGTAAATGTGATAGAAAGTGCAAAGGGATGCAACATCCCTTCGTAGCGCCAGTGAATCGAACCGATCAGAAAGACCTCGGTCATTTACGATTCGAGCCACTCTGCGCTGGATCCAGTCAAGTGAAAGGAGCTGGCACTGGGGTGCCCCGGCCCAGAAATGAGAACAATATTCCATTTGAGGCGGAACTCGCGCCTTGTAAAGTTTAAAGCGGTGTGTCGGCAAGAATTACTGTCCCGCTCTGCTGAGCACGTTAAGCTTTTTAGAGGCCAATATAGCCATCCCTTCCAAGTTACCACGAAACTGCACGTCAACAAAGAGCGTGCCCTAAAATTAAAGAGAGGGGTTCTCATTAGCGGTGAACGCGCAAACCTGTGTCTTCTGAAGGTTAAGCTGGACTCCATTTAGTCGTCCCCAATCTGAGACTTTGTTCCGACACAAGTTTGTTTCTGTACTTGACGACGTTATCCCGAGAAATATTGGCATGGCCGGTGTAAAAAGAATTATGTGTTGTCGTCCACATAGCAATAAAACAGCGTAGGTAATAACGCGAAGCCTTGTGGAACACCCGCATTAAGAGGCTTGTAATCGGTGCATGCACTGCACATGACTACTACGACCTTGATGCTCTGATCCGCAAGGAAACTGGTGATCCAATCCAAGAGAAGCCCATAGGAAGGAAGCTTTGAAATAAGCGCTTTGTGCCAAATCCGATCTAAGGCCTTCACTGTGTCCATACCGTTAGCCAAGGTCTCTCATAGATGGGCGGAGGCAGTAAAGTCCAAACTTTACTGCCTCCGCCCATCTATGAATCAGGTAGAACAGAAGATCACTAGTTGATCGACCCCTACGAAAACCATATTAATGGTCACTAATCAGGTGGTGGTCCTCACGGTACGTCATGTGCTGACAGTTTATAATGGATTCCATTCCATTCCATTATTTTGGAGTACAAGGAGGTGATAGCGATAGGCCTGCAGTTGAACGGGCTTAAGCGGTCACCTTTTTTAGGTATCAGATGGACCAAATCTGTCTTTCATGAATACAGGACTACACCTAGGGAGTAGGAGTACCGGAAAAGATGCATTAGAACCGGTTCCAACTCGGGAGCACATGTCTTTAGCACAATGGTAGAAACTCCATCAGGCAAACTCGACATGTTGACGTCCAGGGAGAGGAGTGCTTTGCGCACTGAACGCTGTGTACACCGCAAATCCGGCGTAGAGCACTCACACCGCAGGTCAGCGGTGTGTTTCCTCCACCATCGAGAGTCGAGTTGGACGCAAAAAGAGAGCCTAAAAGATCGGCTTTTTCCTTTGCGGCATGGGCCACTGAGTCGTCCTTCCTGTGCAGAGATGGAAGAGATGACTGATAGAAGTTTCCTATGACAGCCTTGGCGAGAAACCATAATGCATGGGTTCCCGAAGGAAGTTTCTCGCCAATTTTGTTGATGTACTCTGACTTTGCCTTGGCAGTAAATCTTTTGAAGGACCTGGAGCCGGAATTATACATCTTTTTAAGCGCTGTAGTGTTCATTACATCCCGGAACGTTGATGCATCCCAGTCCTATATGCGTGATGTTATTTTACAGTATGGAATTTCAGAAGCATACCAAATTATTTAATAAAAATATTAGAATAAAAATTCCAGTGAAGTCACCTCCACGTCCTTCAACGGTGGAGCATGACGCACAAGTTTAGTATAGTCAGCCTCGCTTAAATTGAACACGGGCCGTGTTTGAAAGTCCAGGAATTCCATCAAATCTTCGTAGTATATGTTACAGTTTTCATCTTTCTTTAACCTAATGAACAAATATAATAGTTAAAATCCCTGTAGTATAATTATTACAAATAGTTATAAAGTACCCGTTCAAAATCAGTGATTACTAATTTAGCAAGTTACACACACAAAAAAACATTTAATATTGCCAATCGATTACAGTCAGAATAAAGAAAAGTTCAGTAAGAAAACGGTCTGTCTGCACTGTATTAATATAACAATATGCTGAATATCTCAATTTTATGTCACCAGCATCACCTAACAATCCATAAAGTTAAATTATTGTATATTTATAAGTTACACAGTCCCTCCCTTTCTATAAATTATTTTACTTCTTTCGAATCTCTTTTAGAATCACTAGTCCCTACGTATAGTCACACTATTTTGATGGGTGACTTTAACACCTGTTTGCTTAAAGGCGACAATCGATCTATAAAACTTGAAGCTATAATTGAAGCGTGTAATATGCAAATCCTACCCCTTTCTGCTACTCATAACTTTCCTAACAGTACTCCTTCCCTTCTTGACTTAATAATGGTGTCATCTTCCAATTTAGTTTTCAAGCACGGACAGTGTCCTGCGGATGCATTCTCTTATCACGATTTAATTTTTCTTTCGTATAAACTACGCCCTCCTAAAATCAAACCTAAATTAGTTCTGCGACGTAATTTTGGAGGAATGGATATTGAACAACTTTGTGAAGATGCTTATAATATGGACTGGTCAGTGATCGAGAGAGCTCCATGCATTGACGATAAAGTGGAACTGTTCTGTTCTCTTCTCACTCAGCTTTATGACGTTCACGCGCCAATGCATTATGTGAGACTTAAACACCTACCTGCTCCATGGCTCTCTGATGACCTGAAGAAGCTTATTTTGCAGAAGAATGCGGCATTGTCAAAGCTTAAGAGGAATAAGACAGAGGAAAACGCAAGGAAATACGCCAAAATCAGGAATCGATGCAACACATTGTGTAGAGATGCGCAACGACGCCATATTCATACATCAGTCGAGAACGGCGACTCATCTAGGGTGTGGAAGTTTCTCAAAACAGTTGGAGTTGGTAGAACATCCCTAAATGCTTCACCTCCTAGTGTTGATTTTGAACTATTAAATCAACATTTTTCTAATCCTTCTAACTCTTTTGATAGCGAACATAAACTGCAAACACTTCGTTCGCTTTCTGTAACTCCGACTCCTAATTATCCTCCGTTCGTTTTTAGTCAGTTTACTGAATGTGATGTTAAGAAGACCATATTATCCATCTCCTCAAATGCTGCCGGTAGCGACAACATTAGCCGTAATATGATTGTTCCTCTCCTTGATGTTATTACTCCCATTATCACTCATTTACTCAATGCTTGTGTCTCTTCCTCTAAATTCCCTCAAGCCTGGAAGAGTGCTCATATTATACCCCTTCCAAAGAAATCTAATCCCGTTAACCTCTCTGATTTCCGTCCCATCTCGATCTTACCTTTCCTTTCTAAAGTCCTTGAAAAACTTATTTGCCAACAGCTGACCCTTTTCCTTAATAAGCACAATTTATTGAATTCCTTACAATCCGGTTTCCGTCCAGGTCATAGTACGGCTACTGCCTTAATCAAAGTTACTGATGACATACGGTGGGGTATGGATAATAAACAACTCACAGTCATGACCTTGCTGGATTTCAGTAATGCGTTCAATACTGTTGACTTCGATATACTGTTGAGTCTGTTATGTTCCCTTAACATATCTCCATCAGTAATTGACTGGTTTCAAAGTTATCTCTGTGGCCGTCGGCAGTGTATTCGTGTCGATGAAACTCACTCATCTTGGTGTGATATAACTGCAGGCGTGCCGCAGGGCGGCGTGTTGTCACCTTTACTCTTTTCCATTTTCATTAATTCAATCACTCATAAAATATCTTCTCTCTACCACATGTATGCGGATGATGTCCAGATTTATACCCAGTCAACTCTTGAGAATTTGCCGAGTGCAATCGCTACATTAAATAGGGATCTAAATTTTATACACGAGTGGAGTAAATCATATGGCCTAAATGTCAATCCTAAAAAGTCTCAGGCTATCATTATTGGTAGCCAGAGCTTTATCTCAAGAGTTGACTGGTTCTCTGTACCACCTATCGTATTCGATGGAGTTGTTATCCCTTACTTTGACAATGTCAAAAATCTTGGTATTTATATTGATAATTCCTTAAATTGGATACGCCAACTGAATGAGGTAAGTAAGAAAACTTTTGTCGCTCTTTGTTCACTGCGTCGCCTTCGATCTTTTCTTCCCATTCCTACAAAAATTATGCTCGCACAGTCTCTTCTCCTTCCGATTCTCGACTATGCTGACGCAAGCTATCTAGACATAACTGAGGACCAGCTAAATAAGCTTGAGAGACTTCAAAATACTAGTATTCGGTTCATATTTGGATTGCGCAAATTTGACCATATTTCCCAATTTCGCTCACGTCTCAAGTGGTTACCTATCCGACTTCGCCGGAACATGCATATACTTTCTATTCTGTACTGTGTATTATTTCACCCTTCTACTCCTCCCTATCTAAAGGAGAAGTTTAATTTTGTGGGGCTTCCAGGGGAACCCTTACGCTCTTCGAGAAAATTCATTTTAAGTGTGCCAACTCACAATACATCATTCTTCAATAAATCTTTTACTGTCCAGTCTATTAAGCTCTGGAATGCCCTACCTTTGCATATACGTGAGGCACAAACTATTGTTATCTTTAAGCGATTACTTAAAGAGCATTACTTGTCTCAATCGTTCGGACACCGTTAGGATAGATTGTGTGATTATGTATTTATTGTATCTATCAGCTTTATATTATTGTTTGAGGAATTTTATATATATATATATTGATATATATGTGTTGTGTGTATATTTATGTATATATGTTTATATATATGTGTATATGTATGTATATGTATATATGTGTATGTATGTATGTATATGTGTATATGTGCATGTATATGTATATATTATATGTGTTACCTTATATTTTATTATGTGTTAGTAATTTATATTATTTCATGTATTACTTAGTTATTTATATTTTTTTTTTGCATTTATTATTTGTATATTTATATTGCACCACCTACCACCTACCTATTCATTGTTTGTATTACTTTACACCTTTGGTTGCCTGGAAGAGATCGCTATGTAGCGATAAGGCCGCCAAATTGTACATATTATAATCAGATTTTTGTTATGACATTTGTATATTTGTTCGTGGTGTACAATAAAAGTATATTCATTCATTCATTCATTCATTAGTTATTTGTCATCTACTTAAATTAATTACTACACGATGTATTTATTAAAAATTTCACATTGTATGATCATAATATGTGCCATGTAGTGGCGGTGTAATAATATCTACTACCCCATGTGATCAACCCGTGGACATCGTACTAGGTGACAGAGCGAGACAAATCAGAAGATGGGCAGAGCAGCGTCTTTCTAATAACGACTAAAAATAAAAAAACTGCGGTTGCCAACCCGCTTACCGCTTACTATGGCAAATATCCCCTCTATGAGGCAATCTATGGGGGCGGCCTATGATCAGCAGTGGAATTTAATGGGCTGTAACGGTAACAGTGACGTTATGATCGTAAGTACCTACGTAAAACATAATGAGAGTACACTGACCGTTCTCAGTTAATTGTTAGGGTTTGAGATTTTTCCGAATCTAAATATGAACTGTTCATTGAGTCCGGGGTCAAAGCAGCCACAAGGTGTGCTTGTAAGGGTGTACCACAGCGACTAGATGTCTTTGCAGCAGTACTTCACGCAGAGCATCTTCTTACCTCATATAAAGCGGTCAAGTCCGGTCCTTCATGAAATTCTGCTATCATATATGGGCTGGTGATGCAAAAATCCACCTAGAAGCGTTGGACTCATTGGAGAGACGTGCTAAAAAGCTTATAAAAGCTTAGAAATTATATGCCTCAATTCTTCCCTCTCTTTCCAACATCGGACAACTAGGTGGTCGGTGGATCTTCACTCTTTTATTGTCGATATTCAACGCATTCAACCAAGTGGTTTTCTTCGACTTTCGTAATGCGTACAGCAAGAGAGTGAAATAATTTGTCGATGATTGATCGATCTGTCGATCTTTCCGTTCTTTTCTTTTTATTACAATCTGGGCGGCTTCAAGGCAACGTGAAAAGTCAGTGCGATTCACGCGACCATCTAAGCACTAGATTCTAGGGCTTCACTAATTACCACCAGGTTGGATTGTGGTCAAGCACTGGCTTTAAAACGAGTAGAAACAAAACAAATGAGCCTTGATGATAAGTAACTACTGCAGTCCATTGATACATGTAGCTAGGAACAACTGCTTTTCTTTCATTACTGTCCCAAAGCGACTAAGTGGACATTACAAGCTTTAAAATATTTTTATTTTTTCGTATATTTTTTTTATCATTCCATATAATTTTCCTCGTGATTATTTTTTTCATCACAGAGACGTGGTAAACTAGCAATTTATAACTCTATTTACAGCATTGACAACGAGATCGAATTGGTATTTTCTGTATACTATAAAATTTGACGCGAACATCAAGACCCTGACTTTTCACGACTTTTACTCTTCACCTCCGCATTCAAAGGTTTTTTTTTTTTTTAAATAGTACAGTGTTTGAGTAAGAAACTAGTTAGTAGCGCGCCTTTGGCCTGTGTTCAGAAATGGACGCATCGTAATGAAAATAATAACGATAGTTTTTTTTAATAATTAACTATTGTTAAAATAGTAATAGTAATAATAATAATAAGTGCACTGTCAGTTTGCCGCATTATTGGCGCCAAAGTTCCCACGGCTGGACGCGCTACTAGACAAAGTAGCGTGATCCCAGCCTGGAGAAGAAGGATTGAGGACCGTATCGCAAAGGCAAGGGCCCTCATCGGCAGACTGATAAGCTTCAGGTCGGGCGATAATAGGCCGAGAATTGTGCGCACCGTCAGGATGGCGTTTGCTGGGACAAATATCAATTTGTTCCAGCCGGATATAACGCA